ATAAGGATTTGATATCATTTAGCAATCATTGCTAAATTTGTTTGATTATCGATCAACGAATAAATCCACGTTGCTCTACTTGTATCAGGATCGAGTTCATTTATCTCTGTTGTAATCAATGGGTTTCCTATCCTAACAATATAGTTACACTACTACATGATGGTATCTTCACCAGCAGTGCTGTACACTGGAAAGCAAATACTCAGCGTCCACAAGGTGGCGCTTTCTGCTTGAGCTAAGCTCGACCCAAAGGAGGACACAACAAACACAGGAAACAAAGCCTGAGCACAACTTCTTCCATTGAACAGTTGGTAAACACCACAACAGTCACAACTTTGACTTGTAAAGAAAATCTGTTGTCTATGAACATAAAACGACCAAAACTAAACCAGTCACTATTTGACAACAACAAAACTAAAACACATTTGACATTAAATCCACATTTATTCCAGTTTATTACACAAAATCATGTAACACATTCATCACACACAAAAGGCATGTATAGCATTCCTATATCAACACAAGAAGGCATGGTTCAGTGCAGGGCGGGTCATTAAATCTAAATTTTATTTAATAAACTGAGAAACAGATAATAATGATTATCAACACATCATAGACATCTTACAATAACCTAACCTTAATTCTGCTTTTACAAAGCTTGGGTCTGCTAATTTCATCTTTTCCAAAAAACACTTAAAATGGTCAACCAGTATTGTGTAAACATCTCAACACAATAGTAATTTGTTCGATAGGCAACGCTACAAATATATTAAAGTGCTCCCAATATTTACATTCAAACAGGAGCATCTCCTCTTCTCAATATCTCTGCCACCCTCTCTGCTTTGTCCCTTTTATGATTCTTTTCTAGGAGTGTGATCAACCTTGTTGCCGCACCCCTACCCTCCTTCTCTATCCATTTCGATAGCAGTTGGAGGGTCATCTCCTCAGGGTCAGTGGGGGCGCTCTGTTTACAAGAATCAATTTCAACTGTTGTCATCCCACTACGCATTGCTACATCCCGCATATTCTTCCACCCAAGAGCGGCTGCAATGTCGGGCATGTGCTTAGATTGGAGCTCTGAAATTACAAGTACAAGACAGTGAGATGAGACGTACAGGTTTTAAATCGACAGATAACAGAATCAATGCTACATCAACACATAATGAACTCAATAATTACATGAAATGTTATGTCAATTCCATCTGATTATGGATTATTCATCTATTTAATCTAACATGCTCAAAAAAAATGAAAAAAAATCAATTAAAGCTCTAATACTTGTCAATTAAAAACACGTTTTTCTTACCATTCAGAGTCTGCAGCTCCTAAGAAAGGCAAAGATTTCATATTAATAAAATATTTCCCACTCTAGCCTGATAAAAAACTAATTGCTTTGCTCACACAAGCTTTACTTTACAAATACACTAAAAGTCAAACTACAATAACACTGTCACAGAGGAAGCACAAGGACACTCAGGGTTTCAGACAACTAACCTGTACATCCTATAGAAAGGGGCAGCTATGCCAACATTAGAGGAGAGACAGGGAAGAGTTTATCATAATGTATGTGTCTACATGTGAAGAAAGAGGTGAGGTAAAAAAAAATAACTCACCACTGTCTGTGCATTGCCATTTGGCTGGCCGGGGGTATCTTGTAAGAGAAATAATCAGAAAAAAAACCCTTGTATTTACAAATACATATTATACATGCACTCTGCCGGTCACATTTTTCTGGTAGAAGTGGAAATACTCACATTGTTTTCTATTTCTCCTTCTGCAACACCAGACTGCAACTCCAATTAGTGCAATAAGCACCAGTGGGACAATTATTCCAGCTATAATTCCAGCATTTCCCCCTGAAACTCAAACATAAGATTACAATTTTAAATCAAACTAAATTATACCATTTGTTTTTTTTGTATTATACAAACTGAAGCTATCATGATTTAATGCAAATGCTGTAGTGATTAACTAAAACATACCTTCAGATTTGTCATGGCAGACCGTGTCGTTTGTGGCTGTGCAAGCAACCCTGACACCATCTGAGCCACATCTTCAGCCAAAAGAAAAACAAGTATGAGTGACAACAGGAAATGTGACGGGACAAATTAACAGAGGCACAGCAGGGCTGGCTTCATCATTTATTTTCAAACTGATGAAGGTTACCGACAGTATTGGAGTAGAACTTACTCTTTGCAAAGGTGGCAGAGTAAGCACTTCTCTGTGCTGGTGCTGCAATAATGACCTTTTTTACATCGGCATTTAGTGTTACGGGCTCGGGTACAGGATTCTTCCTCCTCTAGATTAGCTAAAATGAAAGTTCAAACACACAACTGACATTAGAGAGGAAACTGAGATGTATTGTGTTAGTTGTTTGTCTACATGTCTATAATGACATTAAGCCTAATCTTTCATATTGTCATTCTATAAGGTTACTATTATTAATGTGGACATTTACTCTGAGTACTGAATTCTTATAGACTGAAATGCTGCTCTTGATTCTTTTTCCAAAAGTCCGACCTGATTGCTTAACAGTTTTTTGCTGAAAAAAAAGTCAAAACCCAAAGGCATTTGATTTATGGTGATACAAAACAATTAAAAGCAGAAAGTCATGAAATCTGACACTGGGTGCAGGGAATGTCTGACATATTTGTTAAACGTTTACTTGAACATTTACTTAGCTATCAAAATAATGGAAGAATCATATTAACTTGCTAAACGCTTTAACTCTTATTGTGACAACACTTCAAACCTTTGCTAAAGGTGGAGATGACTTTCATGCAAATTCTAATCATATTGTCGTAGGTGAATCAAATCACGTAAATGAGGAATGTCTCACTTCATAAGAACTAACATAGAAAATAACATTAAATCATTTACACTAAGTTATATGGAGCTAATATAAATAACTAGAGGGCTTTGTGCAGTAATGACTTTGCATTTCCTATTGTGACAAATCAAAATGCCTGCTAGTCTTTAATAATTCTTAGCAATGTTTTGTTTTGCATATTGATGAAATTTAAAGAAACTGTGATGTCTTGTTGTGTCGTACCATCGGGTTGTCCACAGGATGTGCAGGGTTCACAGGACTCCTGGCTATTGGGATGACTGCTGTAAGTCCCAGTAGCACAGGACTCGCATTGTCCATCATTTTGATTGACAGAGCAGTGAGTCATCAGCCGCAGGCCTAAAGTAGGGGCACATATGAGCCGGAGGAAAATATTCTGGTTAGTTTGGGTGAGCTGATAATACACACAGCCACATATAATATAACAAAGCACATTAACAGCTGGAATTATAAGTGTAAGTCGTGTAAAGGGGCCCTGCATCAGTTTTGTTTTATTTCAGTTCATATTTTTGCAGAATTAATATATATGTGATCTCCACTGTTAGTCAACATTCAGTGTCAGTCAGCAAGTTATAAGTACCATTAGGAAAACCTTTCTAAAATATTCTAAAATAAAATCTTATGAAACTTGACATGCAGACAGTGGGAGTCACCATGAACAAGAGTGAGGTGAAATATCTGTGTCACCTCTCAAGGACTTTTATTATGAGCAATGTATGTGTGCAATAATGAAAAAGTAGCCAAATTTGCCTTTAATTCTCTCAAATACCTTCTAAATGTCAAAGTGGCAGATAAACCGGATGAGTTTCATACATTCAAATAAGTCCTATCACCACTGACACTCACCAGGTCCACACATACAGCAGGTCCTCCCCTCGTGACGGTAGTCGCCATGTGCACACTCCTGCCTCCTGCTGCGGGACAGTCCTTTAACTAAATGCACCGGGAGCGTCTTCTCAGTTTGGGGCGAGGCTGAAGAAAAGTCCCTGGCGATTACAGGACAGGAAAACGAAACAGAAAGTTAGCAAACTCATCTCCCAGTGAAACCCGGGGAGTCGCTCTTTGACGGGTCCGGGACCATTAACCAGACTCACATTACCTAAACCAACCAGCTGGCCTTCGTCTCTAGTGTTTACTGTTGTAGAAGTAAAACAGATCAAGCTTGAAAACACTCGCAGATAAAGTAAATCTCACTTTAATGCGACATGACTGCGCAAGTTTCGATTGCAGCAAAGTACTCGTTGTTTTTGAAGTGGCGAGCCGGGCAGCGCTGGGCTCATTAGCGCCCCGTGAGGCCGGAGGGCCGCCACCGGGTGACGGTTAGTCGAAACAGCGCTGTGGCGGGTGACTTTACACGTAACGAACGCTAGAGGCGACACTCAGCTCAGTCCGCACCCGAAAAGAGAAACCAGTGAAGTCTTCGGCTCAGAGGAGCGAGAGAATGATCAGGGACGTGTTTTCTAAATAGTTTATTCCACTTCACGGACGAAGACGAGCTAGCTTGTTTAGCTAGTTTACATTTAGCTTCACGTCAAACAGCAGCGCCCGCTAGAGTTGTTCTCTGGAAGTGTCTGCGATGGAAACTGTCACGAAAGAGGAAAATATGCATCATCTCAACACTTACTTACTTATCTCAAAAACTCGTTTGTAATGCGTGCTAACTTTTCCCCCTCGCTAACAGCGTGACGTGACCTCAGGTGTTGTGGTGATGTCCTGCTCCCCAACATTACCTGTGTGTAAAACCCAGCACTGTCCTCAGACCAGCCGCAGACTGTACACGATAATTAACCTCAACACCAGAACCTCACCAACACGTGTCCCATTAACAAGTCATCACATTAGCTTCTCGAAGCTGAGTTCAACACGACTCCAGCTCCACTAAGGTTGAATCTGTGACATGTTGAACTGTACTTACAGTGACGCGTGAGAGAAGAACAACACGAAGGTGAAAACCCACAGAAAGGGAAGGTTTGAATCAGACGCCATCTCGTCTTCACTTGAGGAGCTGGGTTATGTCGAGACAACTCGCCCTCTCTGCGCCTCCCAGCAGAGGCGGGGGATCTCTGCTGGGAAGTTCTCCTACTTTACTTTCACTTTAATCACCAGCAGACAAAATGATAATGTCTTACTCACAATACTTTTTTGTTTTAATGTACTTCTCCTCGACTGGAAATTGAGGACAGTGGTTTATTTTGGAACAGAAACCTTACCTCAGAAACCTCAGAAACATGACCTCTCTCTCACAATTTAAGTCATCACTCAAAACCCATCTGTTTAAAATGCCCTCTCCATCTAAACCCACCTCATGCCACTGGGAATTTTTAGTTGGTTTTAATGTTTTAATGGTGTATACTTTTAATGACTCTCTTTTAATGTTTCTCCTTTTAAATGTTTCGCTTTTTTGCTTTTAACTATGTACAGCGTCCTTGAGTGACAGAAAGGCGCCTTTGAAATAAAATGTATTATTATTATTATTAACGGAAACACAAATGTGGTTAAGAGTTTTTAGGAACAATGAGGTGTCTAAACCCTCCACTGCACACTTCTCTACTTCTAAACCACACACCAAAAACAAGGTCTCCAAATTTGGTAATGTTTCATATTCTATTTCTGTTTTTAACCCAACGGAGGTGAATCATCCACGCATTTATCATTTCTGTCCTAAAAGTGTCCTAGTGTATACTTAAATAAATGGTTTAATAAAAATCTGCTCAGTACTCACCAACTGGAGAATGTAAGCTCACAAATAAATATGCTAAAATACATACATCAGTTCACATAACTTAGTATAGAGGTTTATTTAATATGATTATTGTTATTATTAATAATATTGTTGTCATTTATAATAATGGAGTTATTAATAATAATAGTATTCATCGTTTTGTCTGTAAAAGGTCATGAAATATACAAAATAAATGTCAGTCACAGCTTCCTAGAGACTTCAAATGTCTGGCAGTAACTCAAATATATTAAGTTTTCAGTTATATACAGTGAACAAGTGAAAAGTTCAAACCAATGAATATTAGCTTGACAATTCCTGAAAGGTTAAATTGACAATCAGAATAGTTTTCGATCATTTTAATGTTGATTAACTATTTTGTCCCTACCTCTTCGTCATCAGCAGTAAATACAGTGTTACTATACTCCATATATTGAGTTACTGGAGGATCAAGTTTGACGAACTGCTCTCTTTCCTTTGTGAAAACAAGAACTGCTCTCATGCCACTAGGAGGTGTCATTGTTCTTTGTTTACTCTGATAGCTTCTGGAAATAGGAAGGGTCATACAATCAGATAGAGTCTGCTATATATAATCACACCAATGGTTTTAAAGAATTCCCCACAGACAGTTTTTCACCTTTGAATATAACCTCAAGGCAGTAAAAACAGTATACATGAAAGTCTTGATCGGCCAGAATACTACAAGAGAACTGCTAAAAAATGTATAGACACTTGATCAAATGTGACAATTGCAATTGAAACACCTGCAAAACACCATTTACAATTATATTCAGCAACAATTAAATGTGCTTAGATTAATTATACTTGTGAAACATGTTAACAGCACCCATATGTTTTGTTTACAGACAGTTTTAAGGTTGGAAAGTATTTAAAACATGCCATATTGATTAAAACAGTTACCATATCTATCTCCTTTTTTTTTCCTGAACAGGAAACCAGCCAAATAAATTGTGTATGTAGATTGAAAGTACACAACCATAATACTGCATCAATATAATTCTAAACATATTCTTTGATTTATAAAAAGTTTTGGTGGAGTGAATTAGTTAAGCTTTAAAACGTGATATACAAGTCATTTGTGTAGCAGGAAATCCTTTCTGTCTGCCACTGCAGTAACTTAAGAAATAACTGCCTCACCCCACCCCAACAAAAAACACCATATTTGTTTGATCTCTGCCAAGTGTAGTTAACAGCAAATTTATCTTTGAACAAAAGTGAAGAAAAAAACTATTTCGCTGGGGAATAAAAACTTAACTTGAAGGAGACCTCCTGTGGGAGTTTGATGCTTTTGCAAGTGTATTAAATTTTAGCCCTTTGTAGTACCAATGAGTCCCAGTGTCGGATTTGTACCAGTCTGCTGCCTGCTCATGTGGCCCACTTATAGAACAAAATGAACGCACACACAGACACACAGGCACACACTCAGATATACACACAGAGCTGGAAGCAGTGTTGCTTTAGAAATTGCAATAGCTGTTTTTTGCCACTTTGGTCCAGACCGGAACATCTCAATAACTGCTGAATAGATGGCCATGAAAATTTGTAAGATGGATGACACATCTCCACTTCTTGCACCATCCAGAAATTAACGCTGCCATCTTGCACATTTGGAGCCAGAGTCTGCGCAGTAACGATCAGGGTTGGAGCCACGGTAGCGAGGTCCTGCCAATCCATGCGTTCAACCAATCAAGAGTCAGTTTCAGCTGTCAATCAGGACGTTTCACCCTGTTTTTCTAACATCAAATAACTAGTTAAAACCAAACTTACTGTAAAAGGAACACTTGAACAAACATCAGTGTGCTAAGAACTACCTAAAATGACAGAAACCATCCTGGTGGGATTTATGATCTATACTGCACCCAGCCACCAGGTGGTGACAGAGATGCTTAGGCTTCACTTTGGGGAAGCTGTCGTGTCGTCCATCTTTATAGAAAGTCTGTTACAGACAATACACAATAGATAGATCGAACAGATGTATATGACCGACAAGATAAATTGATAGATAGATAGAGTGCAAGTGTGTGGTATTGCAACCATTGCTGGAAATTAAACTGTAATGAGTATTTGCACACTAAAGTATTTGTAGATGTGAAGCAGGGTGCAATAACTGTCAGGAGAATCGAGAGTAGCAATGTTAGAGCAGATGATACTGCTGAGCTCCTGTGTCTAGTTGTGCTGGTATACAGGGCTCTGTAGCGCCTGCCAGAGGGCAGCAGTTGAAAATGGTTTGTGATTCTAAAGTGAAATGTTCCCATAACTGCTGCACTGATTTCCATTAAATTCGCTGCAGACACTCGTGTTCCCCCCTCAGGAGGAACTGTCATCACTTCAGTGATGACTTTTCATCTCGTGCCATCATCAGGTCAAAGATGTGGTTTTTTTCTGCATTTATGAACAAGTACCGTATGTGCAAAACTAATGACATGTCCACCACACTCAGCTGCATGTTGTGTGTTATGCTAGTTTTAAGTTTCAGCATGCTGACACGCTACACTAAGAACATTGTTAAACATCAGCTTGTTAGCATGCAGGCGGTAGCTTTTGGCTCAAGCACTGTGGCTAAGTAGCCTATAGCTTTACAGAGCTGCTAGTGTGTCTACAGATTTCTAGTCTTTAGTGTTTCCATACATTCTCAGAGTTGAGACTCTCAATATAGACTCTACAGTCAAATCTGAAAAATTATGTATAGCCAGGGCTGGATCAATGACTAATCAATTAAATGTTCTTTTGTTGCATTTGGTTTTTGTTTGGTCCTGCACGTTATGCTTTTATCAAAGCCAAATGTCGAACAGATGCTACTCTTCATAAAATGGGTCACTACATATTAGAAGAGAAAAAACTCTCCTATAGATGTTGTACAATTCAAATGTAAACCTGATGGCAGCCTCGCTCTGTGTTAATGGTAAATGAGTGGATGGGTTGGACAGGGTCTTCTTGCCACATCCACATGTATGTTAAAGCCTCATTCTCTTTTTTATTTTTGGTTAATGCTTCATGTAATAAAAGCATAAAAAAACACTCCTCTATTCTGCTATATGGCAACAGGATCAATACAAAAAGCAGACTGCAGTATAGACTGTATGTAAAGGTGGAGGACATGGCTGCCAACTTTGCCCCAAGGGCCACAGATAAAGATTAGCCTCTTGGCTAACTGGCATATTTACAATGTTGTTATTAATATGCACTGTCCCTGAATAATACACTTTACTCCCCAAAAGTGAGGCCAAAGTTTCTCAATTGCCCCCTGGTGGTTGGCTGCAATATAGGTAAACCCAGCCTCCTCCATGTTAGCAGATGAGGATTTTTTCCCAGGTAGTTCTTATCACACTGATGTTTGTCCAAGTGTTCATTTTTCCAGAAATTTTAGTTTTAATTTCTTTTTTGACCCTAGACAGTCCTTAATAGTGCATCTCCACACCATGTTCACTACAGAGCAAACTCTGGCTCCAAATGACTCAGTACAAGATGGCAGTGTTCATATCCGGTTATTTTGTCTTTATTTCTAGTGGGTAGTGGGAGGAAGTCTTCTATCTTTA